TATCTTAGCATAGAGTCTCGCATCTCTTAATTTTTGTAAGACATGACGAACATGAAGTTCATATTCCTTTATGTTCTTAGAATAAATAAAGATGTTGTTTAGATAACAAACAATAAAATCATCTAAAAACTCTCAAAAGACATCATTCATTAGATATTGGAATGCTGCTGGTACATTTATAAGTCCAAAAGGCATGACATTGTATTCAAAATGTCCATACCATATTCAAAACACAATCTTCCATTTATCTCCTTCTTTGATGCATACCAGATTGTATGCTCCTTGTAAATCTATTTTATATAGATCTTAGCTTGATTCAATTGATGAAGGAGTACAAATATCAAAAGTAGCAAGTATATGTTCTTGATGGTGATTTTATTGAGTCTTCAATAATCGACACACATCCGCAATGATCCATCTTTTTTCTTCACAAATAAAATTGGAGCTCCTGTTGGAGATTTGGAATGGTGTATGAAGTTTTTGGCCAAATTCTCTTCAATATACTTCTTGAGTTCAACCAATTCATTTTATGATAAATTGTAGATTGGTCCAAATGGCGGTTGTGTTCCTTCTTGAAGGTCAATTGAGTAGTCATAGGAACGATGATCCGGAAGAGTATCCGCATTCTTCTTCTCAAATATATCTTAAAAATCTTGATATTGGCTTGAAATGCTACTTGAAGTCTTTCTACTAGTAGAAACAGATGTGGCATAAATGACACAAGGTGATCATTCTTTTTCACTATGCAAAAAACTTTTTACACCTACAAATATAAGTTTAATTGTGCTAGACTTATGACTTTCTACTTGATTAACTATGCTCTTAATTATACTTTCAGCAAAGTCAAGACTACAAGAAGTCCAATCTATTTTAGAGTTATATTTTTCTAGCCATGATAAATCTAAAATAACTAGATTAGAGAGAGATCTAATGATATTAAATATTACAAAGCTATTATGACTATTAGTTACTACTTCTATAGAAAGAATTTCATGAGTAACATCTCCTAAAGACAACGGACGACTATCTATGACTTCTACATGAATAGGTTTAGTTTTCTTCATTGAAAGCATGCTATGTCTTTTAGCAAATTCTTCATTTAAGAAACATGTTGAGGCTCTTGAATCTAACAAAGCAAAGAATTTGTGATATTTAGGTCCTAAAATAACATTTATCATAAAAGCAAGAGAGGATTTTGAGAAGAGAATAAGACCTTCATTAGATATTGTATAAGGTTTCAATGGCACGGTCCCTATTATAGTTGGACAAACTTTTTTTTTGACATACTATCTTCTTTGATAGCCATACTCCTCATTTTATAGTTGTGTCACTTCTTTGGACAATGTTGAGCAATGTGCTTAGGTCCTCCATAATATAAGCTTAATCCTTCGTGACGACGATGAGTCTTTTCTTGCCCAATAAGAGGTTTGAAATGTAACGCATCAATTTGCATATCTTCTACTTCCGAATATATGTATTGAAGAGGTGTTGGTGTTGCTATCGAATTATAGTAACATTGAGGTCCACTTATATGGTTCTTTGATCAAAATTCAAAAAGATGATTGTTGCACTTCATAGCAAAGTCAATTGCTTGATTCAATGTTTGAGGAACAGATAAGTTGAGCATTAATTTTTTTACCTCAAATTGTAATCTATAGAAAAATTGGCTAATAAGTACAACATCATCCCACTTGATATCAGTTACAAGTTGTTAAAATTGTGAAGCATATAATATTATTAATTAATTTCTATGTCGCAAAATATGAATTTTTGTTAATTACAATACGGATTACATCATGTTTTCCATACGTAGATCAAAATTCCTCCAAAAAAGCCTCGAGATTATCTAATATTGGATCTTGTCATTTAAAAAAAGATGAAAACCATGACAATAGTGAACCTGAAAGAAGCATACCAATGAATCTAACTTGTGATCCTTGAGTTGAATAACTTTGGAATTGAAGTTCAATCACAAGTTGTACTAGATTGATAAATCCTCTAAACTTTGATCTGATGCCATTAAACTTCTCGGATATAACAATTCTTAGTTCTCTAACATTGGAAGGATATTCCATAATAAGAGAAGGGACATGATTTGGTACAGATGTTGAAGCAGCTCCAATCATTTCTATATCTTTACTTCCTACCAATCTTGTTGCTCCTTGTGAAAGTAAATTAAATTGATGCATCGCAAGTATTAACTTCCTCAATTGCTCTTGCATTTGTGACATTGCATTCTTCATTTCAACAAGTTTTGTTATGATAACACTTAAAAAAGAGAAGATATCTAATATTGCTCAAGACAAATAGAAGAGAGGACTTGAGAACAAAGAAAATACTAAGAATAATATCAATTTAGAAGAGGGTATTCCGCAACTTCTAATATGCTTATGCCTTATCAAGAGAAAGAAGTAATCTACTCTTAATCAAGATTAGAGAAAGCTCTGATATTATATATGCACTCTTATCAATCTGTCAGGGACAAGAACTTGATAAAAATAAATAAATAAGTGAAACTTTTCTCAAAGAAGGATGAAAAAATAAAAATAACTCAATATGTATATTAAGAAAGAAATTGAAATGGCTATTGCCAAAAGACAAGAAAACTAGAGACCCTTGAAACTAGACTAGAAGCAAAAAAGGAATTAATAAGAGTGAAGAAGGCTTCACTCTTACCTCTATATATACTATCTACTTAAGAGCTATGTGGCGACGTTTTATAGGACCTCCAAAAACGTGTTGGCTTTGCACAACACGTATCTTAACTTGCAAGGCAAGTTTTCTATATAGGTGCCACATAGTTAGCTTGTTTTACAAGCTACCAACATGTGTGGCACGTGGTTAACTTGTTGACCAAGTTTCTAACCTATTAATGAAGTATAAGTACATATAAAATCAAAGTAGCATCTATAAAGCTTCTAAGAAGCTTTTTTAGAAGATATTATGAAATTAATCTACTTTTACCTACTTCTACCTATTCATATCACCTAAGTAACAACTATAGTAAATATATATCCATGACAAAAATAGATTGAAGCTCTTGAATTTAATAAGACAAGGATTGTGTGATTTTTGGATTCTAAACACACATCTACTATAAAATAAGGTGAGGATTCTAATGAGAGAATAAGACTTCTACTAGGTATTACATATGATTTCAACCGCATGGTCTCTATTGTAGTTAGAAAAACTTATTTTTCAATAAAATATCTTCTTTTGTAATTGTGCTCCCCATTTTATAATTATGTTGCTTCTTTAGATAATGTTGAGCAGTGTGCTTAGCTTCTCCATTGTATAAATACAAACCCTCTTAGCAACATCAAGTCTTTTCTTGCTCTGTGAGAGTTTTAAAATGTATCATATTAATTTGTATTGATTTCGGCCTTGATGAATATGTTTCAAAAACCTTGGAAGCTATTGCCATTACTTAATTTATTCCTCTCGGATCAAGTCTTTGTTCTAGATGTCTTTCAAATAATCAATTGTAGCATGCAATGGCTTGAGCAATAAATTATTTCAAAGATTTTATTTTGAGCATTGTTAATAATAAATCTTTGAGACTATCCTTTAATCCATATCAAAATTGATTGATGAGTGCTTTGTCATTTCAATCAACATTGCAAGCAAGGTTTTGAAATTCAAGAGTATATGTAGTGGTTGATTGTGATGATTGTCATAAAGATAAGAGTTTGATCTCTATTATTTGTTCTCGATCACTTTTTCCAAATCTAGCCATAAACACTTCTAGGAATGAATTCAAATCATAAAGGAGTTACGAATCTTTTTTCATTAAAGATGCAAACCAAGAGAGAGCACTTTCTCATTGATATTTGGCTATGAATCCAACTTGAGTATATCCATCAGGATATTGAAAAGGATGCAACCATAGATAGAGCTTGACTTGTTGCAAAAAACTTTAAAATTTTGATTTTGTTCTATCAAACTTCTTATGCATACTAATCCTTGTCCCCATCATACTTATAGAAAAAAAACTCCCTATATTTGGTTGTGAGGACAATCTACTTACTTCCTTCAATTGCACAATTTCTTGCCACAGACTCTGAACTTCTTCCATAGGTGTAGACATAGTACCTCTATGATACATTAGATATATTAGATAGTAATATTAGAAATATGTGAGATTTATACTCTAAGAGTGTTAACAAGCTCATGAAGATTTGCAATAGTTGCAAATCTATTCTCACTTCCACTAGGTATAGCATCTATAATCTTTTCTTTCATAGGCAAGTCAAACAAATCCAAAAATTTAAATTAGATGAAGGTAATAGCCATTTTAATTTAATATTGTACCATCTTTGAGTAATTATCTATTCTTTTTGAATAATACAAGAGTCTATTGAGATTTTTATTATTTATAATATATGTCCTTGATAGGTTAATGGCAGATTATCGTAGCAACATCAAAAATTGTGAGTGACATTAGCAATATCCTTTATATATACACACAAAAAAACTTAGAATACAAGAATTAAACCTGTTGTTTGTAATAAATAAATAAATATTTATAAAAAAAAACTATATGTCTATAAGTATAATTTGAATACATTACATAATTACAAGTTTGAATTTATGTGTAAATTATAAAATTATTTTAAAACTACAATTCATAATTAATTTTTAAAAATAAAAATCCTTACAATTTCATCAACTTTATGTAAATATTTTTGAAAAAAAATTTATTAACAAAAAAAAAAAAAAAAAAAAATGTCACTTGTAATAATCAATTTCAATGAGGAAGGAAAAAAAGTTAATAATAATAATAATAATAATAAAACACTGAAAAATTTATTAAATAAATTTTCTTAGAGAGGATGCTTCAAGGGAATCAATCCTAAAATGGAGAAAATCCTATAAGGCGGCGATGACGTGGCGAATGGAGAAGAAGGAAGCAGACACGAGCGTGATGCCCCACCCGAGTATCGGATCAGGGTATCAATCAAAGCAGGGTATCGAGGGTGGTCTGATTTACGCGCTCCCTCAGCGTTGTGAAGCCGCAATGTTGGAAGTGAGTGACAAGAGGTCGACGAGGAGGAGGGGCCGATTGATTTCGCAAGCTTCGTTGGGCCGATCACCTGCATCGCAGCGGGTTTGGTTTGTACACAATCGGAGCGAAGTGGGTTTCTCAGAAGAAGAACGATATTGTCATTGAAATTCTGGATTTGGAGTGTTGTAGCATCCGGCACTTTTGTGTGACGTTGAGGGATCTGTGTGGCGTTGGTCTGCTTTCTTCTCTGTCCAGTTTGGTTTTGAGAGGGAAGGGGTTGATTGAGAGGAGGAATTGGATTCTATTGGCCATGGACGGATGGGACACGACGACGACGTCGACTGTGCAGAAGATACCGCTGCTGTCCACGCGAGCTGGGCCGCGGGATGGGGAGAAGTGGACGCAGCGGCGGAAGGAGGAATTTATGGCTCTGATTAAGTACATGGAGATGAACAAGGAGAGGGATAATGACTGGTTTCGGATTTCGCCCAACCAGGATGGAACGAAGTGGAAGGGGAAGTGTTGGTACATACACAATTTGCTCAAGTATGAGTTCGATTTGCAGTTTGAGATCCCTGTGACGTATCCGATGACGGCCCCGGAGCTTGAGTTGCCGGAGTTGGATGGGAAGACGGCAAAGATGTATCGTGGCGGTAAAATCTGCCTCACCATTCACTTCAAGCCTCTGTGGTCGAAGAACTGTCCAAGATTCGGGATCGCGCATGCTTTATGTTTAGGGTTAGGGCCATGGTTAGCCGCAGAGATTCCTCATCTGGTGGATACCGGAGTGATCCAGCACAAGGAGAAGGAGGTGACTGCGGCATCATCGTGACCTAGGCTCAGCTGGCGTTAACGAGCTCAGCTAGGATATTTATTCACTATAGGAGCTATTTCTTTCATCTGTGTTGTGTTCGAAGTAATTGAATGTTGTATTCAATGTCTTTTTCTTAGTACCTCTGCAAATGGATTTGATCAGGATGCGACTTTCTCTATTGTTTTACGCATTTCAGAAAAAATGATCTTCTCGACATTGTCTAGATGCACAAGGTGTTACTACCTTCACAATAAGTCACTGTGCTATCCCTTGCATGAGATGGTTGCAGTTAACCGGGAGCTATGAAAGTGTACTCTTCAAATATGTTCTCTCCCAAATTTGTGCGCGATTGATGATCCCAGGTGGTACTAATTATTCACAATCTGTGATGAGTAAACGAACGATTACGGTAACCATGTCCAACATCTGTCTACCCTGAGGAAGCCCCAAATCTAAAGAAAGAGTTTCAAGCACGTTAGATCATGATTGTAACATTTATGAGGATGGTAAAAAAAAAAAAAAAAAAAAAAAAGAAAAAGAAAAAAGAAAGAAAAAAAAAGCTTTTGTATGAACATTAATTTATCGACTCCTATAGCGGAAAAAACCCTCACAGGACATGATGACGATTATCTTGCCTGATTTCATTTCCTCTGAAAAGTTTGGCTTGATCATGGCAACCCAAGCAGAACCCGGCCCTCATCTTCAGCCACCCAATAAAAGTATTGGAGTAGCTCTCAAAGTTAATGAACAGAAATCAAGAACAACTTCCTGACTCGGGGAAAGGGTTTATGGTTGCAGGCATTAATAAACAACTGTGATCCAACAACCTGAACGCCGATCGCCCCACAGAGACCACCAGATGGTCGAACTCTGAAGAGTATACCCAAGAGGACATGTCAAGAGAGGACACTTCCATAGAGTCGAGAAATGCCAACACGATTTCTTCAAGCGCAGGAGCGACCTCCCAGGTGAACACTAACCGCTTGTCAAGCTTGGAGTCTTCCTTTTACTTCCGAGTCACCCTGGTTGTGCAAGTCTCGAGTTTTTTTCTGAAAATGTGATACGTCACCACCACGGAGTCACTGTCCAACACCATCCTGCGGACATTGGGATCCTGCACGAGCTTCACCCCATGACTTTCTGGTGATGTTGCATTTCTTTTTCTTTTTACTGTTTGCTGCATTGTGTGGGGGCAGCTTCATGTCCTGGTAACCACTAACCCAAGACTGCAAGAATTGGACCTCTCAAGGTTGGTGTGTTGTTGCAGAGTTCCATGAAATGGTATACTTTGTGACATGGTCTGAAAGAGACAAAAAAAAAAAAAAAAAAAAAACCAAAAACCAAAACCAAAACCAAAACCAAAAAACCAAAAAAACCAAAAAAAAAAAGAAAAAAAAAAGACAAAAGACAAAACAAAATTAAGAAGAATTCAAATAGCTCAAACATTATTAAGTTTGTGGGGGAAATAATACTTCTATCTACGGCTCTCTTGTAGCCTTCCAAAGCTTCTTTTTTCGGAGGAATATTTTGACAAAGTTCTTGTTTTATAGACATTGATTTATATATATATATATATATATATATATATAAGAAAATTCTAAAACCACTTTGGTTCTATAAAATTGACATTCCAAATAAGTCTGAGGTACTCTTTTATTCAAGTTTATACCCAAATCTAAGTCCTTTGCTTCACATGTTTTATTAGTATCAAAAATGACTTCCAATTTGAATTGTTTTTATGCATTTTAGAGCCTCAAGGTCATGTTCTTCCAAACTCATTAATGCATGGTCTTCTTCTATTTTTTCCTTCCATCTTTTCTTCTATATGTTTTAATATACTTTCTAATTTATTCTTTTTTAAAAAAATAATGCTCTTTTTATAAATATTTTTAGTAAAATAATTGGCATATACTTTGCCTTAATAACATTATATATTATAAAAAATATTATAAATCTATTTTTTTATTTCTATCCAGAAATAAACTAACTCATAGTTTTTATTTTTATTATTTATTATTTGGATGATATATCTAATCTCTTTAAATCTACAAAAATATGATTTTAAAAAGATGAAAAGAAATCAAAAAAACCTTAAATTCTAAAACATATGTATGTAATGATTGCAAAATTCTTCTAATTTAAATGATATGCCATAATATTTTGCTGGAATTCTATTGTAACAAGATAAACACAAAAAATAAAAAAGTCATTTTTAAATACTTATAGTAAACTAGACAAAAATAATCTGAAATCTAATTATAATTTTTACAACTCATAATATGTGAAAATGTTTTATAATGGGCTCAAACTCATCCACACTATTAATAAACTTAAGGAAACAACTTCAAGGTACTATTAACTTAAGTTAGTTCCAAATAAGTTGATCCTCTTTGGTTGTTGTTTAAGATCTACAACTTTATCTCAATTAAAAATAATATTATAAGATTTTATGATTGAATTCTTATTATTATTGATATTATTATCATTTCTAGTTTTATTAATTTTACTAAGCATAATAAAATTGATTCTATTTTATGCCACTTTATTAAAGCTTTAAAAAATAAAAAATGAACTTGTAATCTTATTATAATAATTAGTCATAGATATTTTTTTCTTTATCTTCCTAAAAAATTTATTTAATTTGTCTTTTTTCACAATGAATTAATTATTTTTGTTTTATATGTTCTCAAAAAATAAAATATTTTAATATTTAAATTTTTTATGAACTCTTATGTTGTACAAAGGTAGATTTTTTAGATGTCAAATGATATAAATTGAGGTGGGTTTTTCAATTTAAATTACTGATTAATGTTGCATAAATGTATAATATTTAAAAAAAAAATTAAAATAGATTATTCATAGATTCTATGTATTTTTTAATCAATATATGAATAAAATTATATATTATCTTCAATAATATTTTTTATTATCTATAATATTATGTTTATTAGTTTGATCTAGAATATATATATATATATATATATATATATATAGAAACAAATGAGCCTTTTGAATGTGAATTGCCTTACTATAAAATTTAAGATATTACCTACTTTTATTAATTCGAACCTTCCAATATGTGAAAATTTGGTCATACAATTTTTTTTTTCAATTTTTTTTTCTATTTACTTATTGATATTATTCTTAAAATAATAATTAATTCTATTATTATTTTAAAAATCAATTTAATTTGTCTACTTTGCCAAAATCTTTTGATATAATTCCATTTTTTTTTTAATGTAACTAAAATTTATTTACACCCAACCAAGTTGTTGGCATGTTTTATAGTATTTTTTACAATCAATCAAGTGATTATATTATCGTTTAGAAATTACATGGTGCTATAATATAATAGACAATTAAATTCAAGATTCATTTAAAGACTATATATGTTGTTCTTTATTTTGATAAAACTTTAAATCTATTAATAAATACATAAAATAAAATAAAATAAAATAAACTAAAAGATTAAGTTTAAAAGGATCAAAAAAGAATTAAATAATCTAAAGTTTAAAAGCTGATAATTACAAATAAAAATAGCATAGGCCTTACTTGAAACTTTAAATTTCATCTTTTTAATGAATTATTTCATTAAAAAAAATTAGACATTATATCTAATAATTTATTTAAATTTTGATAAAATATTTAGATAACATATTAATATTTTTACAACATGTTAAAATATATATATATATATATAGGGAGTTGTTAAAGCTACACCCTTCAAACCATGTGATGATTAATTTTAGGAGATATGGAATAAGAAACAAGGATAGAGAATGAGGTACAAGGATTTGGAGATATGAAACGAGAGATGGAGATAGGAATGAACAATATCAATCATAAGATGGTAATGTAGGATGAGGCTTTAACAACTTCTTATATATATATAATATTATTATTAATTGATAGCTAAAATATTTTATTAAATTTGTATTTTTTCATATGTTTTTTTATTAATTACTACTTAAAATACTATAAATTATTATTATTTATAATTTATCTTGTCAATATAATATATGAATAATAAATCAATATTTTTATTTTAATTTTATATATTTATTATCTTTTTATTTTTTTTTATTTTTAATATAAAAATAGTTATTGGTAAAAGAATAATAATAAAATTCCACAATGCAAAAAAATTCTTCTCAATCTATGAGTTAAAAAAGCATGATTTTTATCCTAAAATTTTAACAAATTTTAAATGTATTTCAGAATATAACACTTTTGACAACTTTCATATTATGACATATTCAAGCTATCTTAGTAAGCTAAATAATAGAAGTCATACCAGATGTATCATGAATAATTCATATTTCCTTAAAGCTAACTCCAAATATAAGTCATTATGAATTAAATTCATTGTTTATTCCAAAATAATAGTATTATAATTCTTTTGAATAATGCCTCATGTATTACCAATAGGTTTTTATTGTGTTCAACAAATTTAATCACAAACTCCTTGAAAGAATTACAATGCTTACCTCTACTTGAACATACAATGTTCTTTCCTTTATAGCTAATGACATTAACGGTTCAATTTTTTATTTTTTATTTTTTATTATACATTTTCTACATAAGGCTATTCCATGTAAAACAAGAAAACAATCTCTTATGGAGAACATATTTATTTATTGCCAATGAAGAAAGTTAGAAACCAAATAAACTTAACATGGAACTCTACACTTATTTTTGTAGGAAATTTAAATTTACCTTGTTCACAAGGAAAAGATTTTGTTCATTTACCTATTCAAGCATTGGACACATTCTTAGGCCAAATCTTGCTTACTGTAATTGTTCTAGCCAATCATGTCTATCTACCTATAAACAATAAAAATAAATGTCTTCTTAAAAGCTTCATTAAAATATTGCATCTCGAAGCTCTAATCACATCTCATCAAGGAGTGATCGAATAGTTATCCTTATACCCTATTTTGTCTTTAGTATCTTGACGTTCCAAGTATCACCAAAATCTGCAAAGAAAATGTCTATTAGATTAAATAATTAAATAATTCTTGAACCGTTTAATACTATAGAAAGCTATTCGAAACATGGCATCATATCACCACATTGGTTCTATGGATAAAAAATTGATGTGCAGTAAGTCAATATCGCATTGCCAAACCAATTTCAGCAAATATACCACTGAATACTACAAACAAGATAAAAAAAGAACATTGCTATATCTTGTATTCTCTCAACATCAACAAT